AAGATTTGAAGTCAATATTTATTTTAGAAAAATGCTCTACAAATACAATTTTCGATATTATAAGCAAATTATTCGTTTTAATACATTGTTTATTTATTTTTAATTTTAATTTTTTATTATATTTAAATATTTAAATAAAACACATTTTAAATTGTCTACACAAATATTAATTGTCTTCTATTTGATTTATAATAAAAATTTTAGTTTTACTCGTATTATTGAAATATTGACACTTCGTTATATTATATCGATAATTAAATCGACATTAAGGTATTTATTAATCGATACTTATTAACTATAAGTTAAATGCGTAATAAGAAAATAAATTTTTTTTTGTAATTAGTCTATAAATATAAATAATTATTATTATTTTATTATTATCGTAGGTGAATCGATTGATTTTAATTTGTATAATTAATTGTTGATAATAACTAATAATTTTATAAAAAAAATATGAAATATGCGACAAAGGTATTTAACCTTTAATGTAAGTGTATGTATACATATGAACGTATTGATAATTTTTATTACGTAAATATGTTTTACATTCATATTTTATATAAAATTAATTTAAATGAAGTTGTTTATATTGGCATAATAATTTTGGAAATAACCTACGAAAAGTTATTCTAGCGTAAGTGTCACTGACTTCAAACTTTCGTACAATTACGATCGTATATTTAATAGGTAATTTGGTACAAATGAGTTTGATAATAGGGCTACTATAGTTCAATAAAATTTCGTTTATGTTACATGTATATAATATAAATACCAAAATTTTACATTAACAGATTCAACAGCTACATATAATTGCTTTCATGAAGTATAAAGGCAGTATGGAATCTTCCATCATTAATGACAATAAATCTAAAATGGTCAGATGTAGAGTTTTTTGCGCAGGACAGGTTCATGCTTGTTCATTGGGATTGATATAGATTTGCACTATTCTTCCTTGAAGCTGTTGTTCATATGTAAGAACTACCAAGACGTAGCACCAAAATTTGGAATGCTTCATGATATAGATTGCTCGCAGCCTTTTTAGAATTGGAGGATAACAAGTGACGATTGACTTAAAAATCGTTAAACGTTACTTCAATTACACCGCTAGTTTAATCGAAATGGCAGTCTTTTGATAACGTCGATAGCCTGTTATCATGTCACACAAATACCTCAATTGAAGAAGTGACTGAGGTGAAAGAAAGCTCTCTTCTGAAATCTGAAGGATGTATTTACGAATGCAGTTAAAGAGAAGGTCAAATAATAAACTCAAAATCGACCTAGGTTTTAAAAGCGTTAATCATTGCCCTACATGATACTTATACTTGTATTTCAACGAGTCTCACTTAAAACTCTGCAAGATTTACAAGATCAACTGAATAGCATAAAGATGATGCTTAATCACTATAAAAAGGAAGAAACCCCTTGATCTTGCTGTTAATTCAGTGAGTATTCATGACGAGATTGCTAGTATAAGTTGTTCAAAATGTGTAACCATATTAGAAAAATTAGTTATAATTGAGATTTCAGTTAATTCAGTGATTAATTATGACGAGATTGTTAATATTAGTTATTCAAAAAGTGTAACCATATTAAAAAAATTTGGGATAATACAGATTTGGCCAATAAATCTCAGCATAAGAAATCATTCCGTCCGTTGGTCAATTGGAGTAGGTGACTGAAAGAGAGATCACTGAGTGAGGATCAATATGAAATCAATGGTATGAATATAGCTTTAAGAATAATAAGAATAGTAAATAAAAACAAAAAACAATACAGTTGAATAAGTTAATTTGTAAATACTTTTGCCGTCTGTCACTAAGAATACTTTCAGTTCACATCACTAAGTGCCACAGATTGTATATAATTCATTAGACTAAATGTGATTATTGAGAGTTCAACTATTTGTTATTATAAGAAGCTTCTCCCCAGAATTCAAATAAAACATGTTATACATGAACAGCGTGCATATTTTTAAGACTTAAACCGTATCAAAATTCTTTTTGACTTATTTTTCAAAGCATGGATATACACTATTCATACATAACCACTTATATTCGACATTTACTCAAAAGTGTCAACAATAAAAAACTTTTTTTATTAATTAATGCATTCTAAATCTACTTCTATACTCGCCTATAATAACTAAATTAAATTTCTAAAGCACATCAATTCAATTAACAACATCTGAGATGCCTATATTTGGCTAAAAAAGTTGTTTTACCATAAAATGAATATTGTGTTAAGTATTTTGTAATTTATTGTAAAATACAATTAAATCTTACGTTACATAAAAGTATTTTTTTTTATATTTTATTAGTTAATTGTACCATATAAGGTAACTTTCCGTTTTCCAATCGATTTTTCTTCAAGAAAATCATTATTATTTAATAATTTTTTTTTCTCTTACATAAAAGAAACAAAAGTTCGCCGAGTTTTTTTTTAAACAAAGAAAAATAGTGTGAAAAAAAAATACAGGAAAGTTGTAAATTGTTAAAAATAGTCATTAGATAATCTTATTATAGTTTGCTAGAAAGAAAATATTAAGTGATATTTATAAATAGGAGGTTTAAATAATATTGAAAAAATAGTTCATACTGAGTCTTATAATTCTGACTTTCAGCAATATTTGACAGTGACATTTCATAATTTATGTTGGCATGTTGTGAATTTTGGCATTTCGAAAACCAAACAATCCCACAATAATAAAAGTATATTATAACTGAAATCACACTTTTGATATTGTGACTACATTTCAAAATTAAAATTGTGTAAATTTGTCACACTAAATTACAAATAAGGCTGCAAAACAATTCATGTCGCCATATATTTTCGAACTTACCAAAAAATATGTATACGAGTACGTATAAATTTTAATGTCCTTTCTCTTCAAATTCTCGGTGTTGATGCGATTTCTTAACAATAAATTTTTTCAAACATTTTGCTTTGTTTTTCTTCTAATTTTTATATTATAAATTATTATAAAAAATAAGATTCATATTAAAATTTTTACTACAAACATTATTACTTCCTATTCAATTTGATTTAAATTTTGAATGACAATCCAGAGGCAGAAATTTTTAAAAATTATTAAGTATTTTAAAAAAATAATAATGAATTATGAAATAAAAAATTTTTAAAATTCAAAAATATATTTATTTTAAAATTATGTAGGTTAATTGATTTGATGTCAACATGCAGGAAGGAAAGAGAGGTCATAGAATCATTTGATGTCATCATGGAAGGAAAGAGAGGTCATAGAAGAAATAAGGACTCTTAAACCTAAAAAGGCCCCAGGATTTGACCTAATAACGGCCGATATTTTGAAAGAATTACCCAAAAGGGGTATAACGATGCTTTCGCGCTTAATAAATGCGTATATAAGGTTCAATTTCGTGCCTGAAATTTGGAAAGTTGCAGAGATAATCATGCTGCACAAACCTGGCAAACCTATAGACAGGGCGACTTCTTATAGACCAATCTCATTGTTGCCTATGATTTCAAAATTGCTAGAGAAACTTTTATTGAGAAGACTTCAGCCTATAATTGAAAGTAAAAGGTTAATCCCGAATCATCAATTTGGTTTTCGCCGGAACCACTCAACCATAGATCAGATTCATAGAATAACTGACCTAATAGAAAATTCACTGGAAGAAAAAACAATATGTTCTATCATATTTTTGGACGTAGCCCAGGCCTTCGATAAGGTTTGGCATTGTGGATTAATAAAAAAACTTAGGCGATTACTACTAAGGCAGTATGTTGACCTGCTCGAATCTTACCTGACTAGTAGGAAGAGGAGTACTCTTCGCTTAGGGATATCTGGTCGGGGGTACCACAGGGGAGTATATTGGGCCCGATACTATACTTGCTATACACGTGTGATATTCCTGAATCGGAAGGAGTGACAACAGCTACATTTGCTGACGATACAGCAGTTATCGCAATAGGACGAAATGAAAATGAATCTACACAAAAATTGCAAAAGGCCAGTGATGAGATCTCAAAATGGACTAGAAAGTGGAATATAAACAGTACACGTAAATTTCACTAATAGGAAAATTGACAATTCATTTTCGGTTCGAATAAATGGTGTCTTGATTCCGTCCGCAAACACAGCGAAGTATTTGGGAATGACGTTGGACGCGAAGCTCAGATGGAAGGAGCACATAAAGAAAAAGAGATCTCAACTAGAGGAGGAATACAGAAAGTTTGAATGGCTTTTGGGGAGGCGTTCCAAATTGACAATATACAACAAAGTTTTGATATATAATCAAATATTTAAGCCTGTCTGGGCTTACGGTATTCAGTTATGGGGCTGCGCTGCGCAGACTCATATCCAATCTATACAAAGATTTCAAAATAGAGTATTACGAGACATTGTAAACGTCCCTTGGTATGTCCGTAATGCCGATATACACAGGGATCTCACGATCCTAAATGTCACAGACGAGAGATTTTTCACCCTTCCTCTCGGTAAAAAAAAAAAAAAAAAAAAAAAAAAAACATGCAGATCTCATAGAACTAGACAATATTACATAGATCACATAAGTTATAAAAGTTGCCTTTAACATCAATTAGCAAATCAAACGCGTAAACATCAAAGTTCACATTCAAGTTAAAAATTTTTCCTGATCGTATCAAAATTTACAGCTGATGCTGATTATTAACAACGGACAGTATTAGTAAAATTTTGACATGAGTATATAAAGATACCTACAATTACAGTAGACTATAAACTGCATTACAACAATTTTCTTACTCAAAAACTGCCAAAAACACAAAAACGAACCATTAAATTAATTTTTTTTTATTTTTATGAATTCATCGCCGAACAAGTGTTAGTTTTAAGAATGATATGTTAAATTGCAGTCACGATAATTCGAACCATTGTCACAAAATCGCATCGTAAATTTTTATTTTTCATTACTCTTATTTTTTATACACACATACATACATAAATATAACTCTTTTAATATTTATTTTATTAATATTTGAATTACCTGTTATTTCTTTATAGAATTTTCTCAAAAACGAATCTTAATAATAAAAGTTGTAAAAATACAATAAAAAAAATGTGATCATCCCAAAATGTCATCATACTCGCGTTTACTCTTTCATTTATTATCTCATCAGTTTAAGTCATCGCAATTCATTCGTTTATAGAAAATTTTTCGAAAAAATTAAAATATAAAATTTTACTTTTTAAATATTTTATTCTCACGCTTTTCCCCCTCTCTTTCTTGACACTAGTTCTACTTATTTTGTATTTAAATTCACTTTTTATTTTAATTTGCAATGACATCTATGTGCAATGACATCTGATGGTGTAATATTGTAATAAATTATTATGTGAAATTGAATTAAATTCTAAATTTAATGTGAGTGTTAAAATAAAATAATTTTAATGGGAAAAATATTTTTGTAAATTATTTTTTATTGAAATTTTGTCATTTGAAAACTTTTAAATTTAAATTTCTAAATTAATATTTCTTTGTTATATTATTTTAAATTTTTCAAAAAAAATAAGGAATTCAACACGTTTTTCACCTTTTAAACTCTTAGATTTTCACAACTAAACTGAATTTAAATAAATTTTTTTTTGTGTTTTTTGTTAAAAAAATTTTGTTTTTTATAATTTTTATTTTATTAATTTTTTAGCTGTTTTTTTCTCAAACAAGAATTTTTTGTTCTATTTATTTTTATTGTTTTTAAAGCTTCGTTTCTGTTCTTTTATTTTATTTGGGAGAAAACAATCAAAAAACATAAACGTACACAGCAGAAATGAAATAGAGAAAAACAAGGCGCGGATTTCGCGAAATCACACCAATAATGGTTTTGAAATAAAATTTTTTTTCTCTATTCTTTCTTTTTTCTATTATTCAATTTTTTTTCCTCTTTAACAAAAATATTACAATTTTTCACATTTTGTTTCTTTATTTATTTATTTATTTATTTATTCTTATTATTTTTTTAAATATACGCGATTATTGAATTTCTTATTATAACAAAATTCTTACCGAAAAATTGGAAACAACAACAAAAATTCTATGCAACGCGTTTTCTCTTATTTTATTTTTTTATTTTTTCTACTTGTTTTCTGGTCAAAAATCATCAAAAATTTCTATAAATGTAATTTATTATAATAAATTTGTTTTTTTCATGTTTTTGTTAACATTTTTCACTTTTTAGTTTTCTTTATTTTAGATATTTTTTTTATTATTTGAATATTAAAAAATCACCGCAGGGTTTCACGTCAAAACCATATTTTTTTTTTACCTTTAACATTCAAAATTATAATAAAAAAAATTAATACGCGTCTATCAAAATGATAACCTCACACTTCTTATACGCGCTGCTCTATACACAACGCAACGCAACGCAATTTAAAAAGAGTTAAGAAAAAATTAATGAAGGTGTTTTTCTTTTCGAACTCTTTTTTTAAAAGAAATGAAATGAAAAATAATTTTAATTAAAAGTTCAATAAAAAAAATCAATTACATATTTATACAAACACATACATACATACGTGAACCTACAATAAAATTAAATTAAAATAAAAAGTAAAAATTTAATATTAATTGAACTTTTATGGCATTTGCAATAAAATGCGATGACAATATAATAACAATAAAAATAAATAAAGCAAAAAAAACAAGTGTAATTTATTAATTTGTATTTTTACATATATGTACGTATGTGTGTATACATGTATGCATGAAAATGTCAATATTTCAATTATTTTTTTTTAATATTAATATTAATTTTAACTACGATTCCCTCCTTATCTTGTTGATATGAAGAGAATCGAATACAAAATAAAAAATTTTATTTCAACTTCAACAAAGAGAGTTAGTGTAGTCTGGTAAGATGAGGTGAGTGGAAGGTACTCGAATCAAAATCCAATTCAATACTTAACAATTATTATTAATAATAGTACTCAATAAAACAATCAACAACAAAAAATTTCGATTATTACGAAAGATTTTTCGACTTCTGTCTTCCAAAAAAAAATTTTGAAAAAAAATTCTTATTACTTTTACTGTGTTAGCCTGCCCATCGGTCCGTCTGTACCTGTAATAGATTTTAACTAGAAACGTATCTAAAGAAAAAAATTTTTTAACTGTTTTGTTACAGTCTTAGATTATAGATCGTCTCTTAATGAGATAGAGGGGCAGTTCGAGTTAAACTTGATAGGGGTCCACAGGCATAGGTTTCGGGGAAATACAAGGCGGACGAGTTTGCGAGACATGGGAACAACCTTCGGGATTCTAACTGCAAAGGAGAACCTGGGAATGCCTCTAAACACACATAGGCTGCTGCTATGCAATGCAGCAGTTGAACGTATCAACCTCAGATGGGGGAATGGAACAATATGTAACACGATAAAGAAGTTGATACTGTCTGGTTGGCAATCATGCTAGGAGGATGGGCAACCGATATATGTAGGAACTGGAGGAGGAGGAAACGGTGATCTGCCTGATATCCTCGTCTCGGGCTTTGGCTGGTAGATTGGGTTGGTTCTAATGAAGGGGAAGGGAGATATCCGGCGGCACCGGATAAATAATTTTTTTATATAACTCTTGCTTTAAATTCGACCAATATGTTAATGCCCTCATATGCAATCATTTGAAATATTTGGTATGTGAATGAAAGTGATTTAAGTAATGTAATAGATTCTTTTTTACAGTAATATATTCACTTGTTGAAGGAAAAAGTGCTACCTTGCAAGCCATTAGTTTGACTGCACTTTATTTTCTTATTGTTATTGTTTACCTGATGTGTACAAAAACAGATGTCGCTACACATGCTTGCATACACATTTGTGTGCGTGTTTATTTTATCATTAATTTTTCTTTTCCTTTTCATGTTTTTTTTTCTTCATTACTTTATTATTTAAAGGTTTAATCAGTTGGTTGATTGAGTCAGTCGCACCTCGCTTTCAATCAACATAAAGTTTTTTTTTCTTTTTATTTTTTCTTTTGTTGTTTTTCTTTTCTTGTTGCTTATAATTTTCTTTTGGAATTTAAGTTTGTTTCTTTTTTTTTTTTTGCTTTATAAATGCCATTCTAAAAAAAGAAAAATTAAAAAAAAATTTTCAAGAAAAAACAACAAAACGAAACAAGGTAGTAGATTTGCGTTTTCCTTCATAGTTTTGCATTGCTTTACCATATTTATTTGTAATTTTGTTTTCATTTTAATAAAATTTAAAATAAAAATTGTTAAAAATTCAATTTGACGTTTGAAATATTATTAATATCGAAAAATATTTTGATTCAAATGTTAAATGTTTAATTTAACAGATCTTTTGTTCTCATATCAGTTGTAAATATTGTTCTTGTTATATTTGAATTATTCGTACCTTTATGAAATTAATTGCTAACACTAGCTAATTACAAAAGTTCAAATTAACAAGCGCAAACTATGAGCCGTTCTTATTTGCTATGTTTAATCTGCTTCCGTGCTGTTACTTCCTAACTGTTATAAGTGTTCTGAGGTATTTCTATTTTCAAGAAACAGTCGCGCGCAATGCACAATATCGGTTCTAATATAAATCTAATTTTCTTGGGTCTCGTTTTGTCCTTCCTTCTCACTTTTTCTTGATCAATTTCGTTTTAGTCTTTTGTTACCAGTAAATATAAAAACCATTCATTAATGCGTTCAGTTCAAAATTTTGAACATCCAATAAAACTATTAATGTAGTCTTTCTATTCTGTTGTTACCGCTCGTTATTGGGTTAAACGACTGTATTAACTGCATTTATGTTAACAATATTTTCCATAGTAACAATATTTTGAAAATCGTTCTTTGCACCTCATCAATCAGTGAGTTCAACAGTTTCCGGCCTATACTCATCATGTGAAATCGGCAATGTAATTATAGGGATATTCTTTCTCCCTTGTATTTAACAACCATCACTAGTCTTGTTGATTACCATTTTCTTCTAAACGTTCCTTCTGTTGTAACACTTATAATATCCGTTGTAAATGATGAGCATATTCTGCAGGTAGGCAATTATTTTGAGGACCTGCCATTCAATCAGATGCTATTGTCTTAATATTTTAATGTTAGTTGCTCCTCTTTCAATTGCTGTATTCAAGAAATTTCTTGATCCTAGAGTTTGCAAGATCTGACATTTTTTTATTTTTCATCTTATTTTTGTTATTTATTACAGAAGTTTTTCATTTTCACACCCATACACGTGCACCTAATCGAACCATATGTGTATATTTTCGCTAATAATTATCATTATACAAGGTGATTACGAAAACTATTACGAAAATAAAATACAAAGGGAAATGAAAAAAAATAAAGGGTTAGAAAATTTTCAAAGTCAATGTGTGTTATTCCAAATGGGAAAACTATAAAAAAAAGATTTAATTGGATTTAATTGATAAATGGAAACTTTTCTGTTTCAGAGATTAAAATATTTTTCTATTTTAAATTTTTTCTTGACTTTTATCTGCTGATAATCCAAATACAAAGAAAACATGTGTTTTTGATAAAATTAAATAATTCTTTTAATTTTCTTTAATTTAGCTGACAGTTCTATACATCATACATACATATCATACATACATATATGTGCATATATATGGAAAAGTATTGTGTGAATCTAGAGTAACAATTGAAAGTGTTCAAACAAGTTAAAACCTTTTAAGACACAAAAAATACACAATAAAAATGTTGTAATTAAGTTGAAAAATAAAAACATAGATGGGGCTTCTTAAATCATTAATGTCACTATAAAATATTATTTCTTTATACAAAATTTCTAATCTACTCTGAATTTTATTCTAATTTATATTCAACTTGTCATTATTAGTCTGTTTAGAGGCCGAAATAATTTAAATATCTCGGGGTATAACGCTTATTTTTAATTCAGGAAAATTTTTGAAAGAAAATCAAATAACACTTGGCGGACTGAGTCCAATTACATTTGGCTAAATTATATATGGGTTAATATTGCGCTGGAACTCAAGCGATTGATCTACTCTGCCCCTTTCCACCGATCACACCTAAACTACCTCCTGAAGACCTATCTTTTAGACAAATTCGCTTATTTTAAGATTGCGTCCTTCTGCTGTGGATCCATTCACCACGTTTACCGTGAAGTCTCCCTAATTTCCCCACAGACCCTGCAAATGCCTGTGGAGAAATTAAAGAGACTTCAATACTCAATTTCCTCATGTAGCCCCTGAGTCGGCAGTGCCACGGTAATGGACTGTGAACATTTTCACTAAGTTCCAACTCATTCGCAATAGCCTCCTATATCGTTTCTGGTCATAATTTTAAAAGTTCCTTTAACTGCCTCGGCCTGGGACGAAATCTCTATGACTCTGATCTCGCCTCCTTTACCTCTTTCATGAATTTCTCCTAAATCCCCTGCGGCTGATTTTTTACTATGGCATTATTTTGAAACTTGTTTTCTATTATTTGAATGGGTTTATTTACACGTGCATACATTGAACGTATGCGTAGGACAGGAGAACATGTACTTCTGCCCCACAGGCCGCGATAAG